CACACACACACACACACACACACACACACACACACACACACACACACTCGGCCGCTTATTCCCTTATCGCTTATATTATTTATATTAATCAAAAGAGATAGGGATTAGGGAACATGCTACAAGTTTAGTTTAAAAGATAAAAACAAACAAACAAACAAACAAACAAAAAAAACCCCAAACAAACAAAAGGTATATTTTTGCAAACCAGCAATCAAACTTTAAGCCATCCTCCTGCCTCAGCTTCCCAGGTACTGATATTACAGGTATGAGTCACCTGGCTGGGCTTTTCTTTTGGACGTGGGAGGTGGGTACATCTCCCCCCACAGCAGGCCAGCTGCTGGCTCCACGTTTCGAGCAGGCAGGTGACCCTGTAGGACTGGGCTGGACATCTGGCTGGTTGGTGGAATAAAGACACTTGGAAGGGGGGTTATCGGCCTGAAGACAAGTATTGTGTATCTATCTACCTACCTACCTATCTATCTATGGAAGGGTCTTGCTATGAAGTTCAGGTGATCCTCCTGCCTTGGTTTCTCAAGTGCTGGGGTCACAGGTATATGCCACTCAGCCTGGCTTGGGCCTTTCAAAAGGATTCTAGGAGCGCTCCGTGTCCCGATGCTGGAAGTCACTGGTTCTTTTGTATTTTTGGTGGTGACCCTAGCCTTTCATGGCTGAGCCATCTCTCCTACCCAAGCGTCAATGATTCTCGAGTACCATTGGTGAAGTGACATTTCTCAAGGCCCTGGGCCCTGTAAGAGCCCCTCTCTAGTCCCACTTCTCTCCCACACACCCTCTTCCTCTCTGCCCTTGGGTGAAGAGAAAAGAGCAGGCAGGCTGACCTCATATTTCATGTGCCACATCCTGTTTTCAGATTAGTGAGTTCATACGCTGGAAATTTACCAAGGGAAATAGTTTAATTTTGGAAAGTACCAAAAACTCATCTGTAGTCACCCGGCTTTATTTTGGGGGCTCTTGAATTAGAGGGGGCATCACCGGAGGACCACCGAGTGTCTAGGGAACAGGAACAGCCAGGCAGCAGAAATCGAAAGCCGAGCCTGGAGAGGCTTCTGATTCAGAAAGGAAAGAAACCTGGAGAGCACTTTCCTCTGCCCAGGGCACTTGCTTTGTTTTTCTGAAAAAAAAAAAAAAAGATTCAAAAGAGAAATCATCTCCCTGGCCAAGGCCTCAGATCTGGTGGTTTATGACTGACGAGGAGCTGCAAAGCAGACCTGGGCTGAGGGGCGTGGCTTAGCTGATACAGCATTTTGCTTAGTCCTCAGGAGGACCTGGCTTGGCTCCCCAGCACCGCAAACACCTGTAATTCTAGCGCCCTAAAGACAGGCGAAGGGGATTAGAAGTTCAAGGCTCTCCATGATTACACAGAGACGTGATCACGTGTATCTTCACCCATTTTCCTCTCTCTCACACCTGTTCCTTTGGATCTCGGAAGCGACCACAAAGGTTTCGGTCTCCAGTTCTGTCTCAGTTCCCCAGCAGTCAGACCTTTGACACTGAAGGAGATTGCCTGGCTTTATAGAGTTTATATATAGAGTTCGTGGCAGCTGCTGCGCAGGTCAGGGCTGAATGGCCAAAGGGACGCTGGATAATTAACAGGTTGTGAGGGACTGTCCGATGAAGAGCATAGGACACAGATGGATATCCTAGAACTGCTTCCAAGAGTCTGGCCCTGTTTCCTAGAGGAAGATTTATGGTCTAATTCTAGGATGCAGAGCAGGAAACTGGAGAAAACAGAGGCCGTCCTGATGGCTTAGGGCTGGGTTGAAAGGCATTGTGTCCTGTTCCCTCCCTGCCCCCAACCTGAATAGACACTTCAGAATGAGCACTGAGCTGGGAGTTAAGGGAGTTAGGGAGGCTTCTGTTTCATCTCATATTTCTCAGTCACACAAGTAGCTGTCTTCTGGGAGGGGAGACATAAATGAAGTCTCATAAATAAGTAGAAAATGCAAGACAATAGTTTATAGATGTTTTGCTCTCTCTCTGTCTCTTCCTGTCTCTCTCTCTCTGTGGCCTTAGGCTTCACACCCCAGGAGTTGTCCATCTTGTTTCATAGAGGCAGGATCTCTTACTGGGACCTGGGGCAGGAAGATGTAAGCTCAGCTGGCTGGTAAGCAGGCCCCAGGGATCAGTGGGTCTCCCCATCGCCATTGCTATGAATACAAATGCACAGGACCACGCTGAGTACTGTTTTTGTGTGGCTCTGGGGAGGAGGGAGGGAAGGAGGGGGTACTTAGGTACTCAAGTCTATGTGGAAAGTGCTTCGCTGACTGAACTGTCTTCCCAATTCCAATTTAGAGAATTTTGTTTTGTTTGTTTTTCTTTTTCTTTTTCGAGATAAGTTTTCTCTGTGTAGCCTTGCCTGTCCTGGACTTCGAGGCTGGCCTCGAACTCACAGAGATACGCCTGCCTCTGCCTTCTGGAGTGCTGGGATTACAGATGTGCACCACTGAGCCTGGCTGGCTGGCTGTTTTTCAAGACAGGGTTTCTCTGTGTAGCCCTGGCTGTCCTGGAACTCCCTCTGTAGACCAGGCTGGCCTTGAACTCAGAAATCCTCCTGCCTCTGCCTTCTGAGTGCTGGGATTACAGGCTCGCCCCATCACCTCCCTGTTAGAATTTGTTGTTGTTAAGGCAGAAGATGACCTTAAAGATGATAAGACACATTAGATTGTTTCAAACTTTGTGCGTCTCCAAGAGCTACATATACTCTCAAAAGGAGCCTAGATACACAGGCAGATGAGAGGAGAGAGATATAAGCCAGGCAGGCAGGCGGCCAGGAAGCCAGTGAACGGGGCTTCTCCCTCAGCCCCCACCTTCATCTTGGGCTCTAGCCCCCACTGAAATGCAAAGTGAAAACAGTACACAGAATTAGAATTTCTCAGATCCCGGGTATGGACGGGGTGCTTCTTGGGGCTGGCCTGCCTCTGCTGTCCCTCCTCCTCCCCTGACACGTGCACCTTCAGTCCTCTAACTCACTGCTGAATTGCTGCAGAAGGGAAGCTTGACACCGGCCTGGGTCACCAGCCTTCCACTCCAGCCTGGGATGCTAGGGTCTGTGGTTGTGGTGAGAGCAATAGCAACACGAATAAGTGGCTCCCTTTAATTTTATGTCAGTCGTGCCTCCGAGTTCCGCCCCCGCCACATTCATTTCTTGGTGTAGTCTCTGCAACACCACCGAAAGGCTGGTGGTGGGGAGCAAATGAGCATTACTTTCCCAGGTGAGAAAACCAAAGCCTCGAGGTAAATAATTAAGCTCAGGTCAAACAGCCAGTGATTGGCAGCCTTGGGAAGGTAGGCACTCACCTCTGGATACGTGTGCTTTTTCTAGTGTGATCCCAGAGAAAGCTGGGATCCAACCTGACCTTGTCCTCCTGCTCGGAGCCCAGTTTCCTCCCTTGTCAAGTGGCAAAGTTAGAGGATGGAAACTCTGCTTCCTGTGACGCTTTTCATGTTGACATCATGTTGACATCGCGGCTGGGAACTTCGGGGCCACCTGACTCCATCGCCCTGTCTAACACTCCAGGCTGCTGACCTTGAGTCACCGTGACTTGTGTCTCCGCTGTAGAGGGCTCTTCTGAGAGTCCTGGGAAGGCCCCGTGGCCGGAGGGAAGGCCACAGGGGCAAGGACCTGGTGTCCCGGTGACTGTCTCCCAGAACAGGACAATGTGTACGGGGAAGTGAACGAATCCACTAGGCCCAAAGCAGGCACCTGACATGGTCCCGTTTGCTCATCCCTCTTCAAATGTAGAGCCAGAGCAGGCTTCATTGCTTGTACTGAGAGCTGAAGACCCCGCCAGTGGCCTCTTGTTCATTCTCCTCCCCGCCAAGGCTCATGCTCAGAAAAGACACTTACAGGATGGCTCTCCGTCACTACCAGCTTAACCTCTACTGGGTTTTGACTCATGAGCTAGGACATTTGTTTGAAGAGCTGACCGTGGGCCATCAGCAACCGTAAATAAAGACAGCAAGTGCTGAGCTCGGCAATGCTAGGACAGCAGCTCAGAAGTTTACACAACTGCCTCTTGCAGCCCATCAGAGAAACACTCAATGAGCTCAGAAAAACCAGAGCATATTATGTGTGTGTGTGATATTTGCTTAAGTGATAGTTCAGTGCGTTCTGGGTATCTTTCTATTAATAGCCACCCTGTTCTCATTATACATAACTGTAATTTAAATTCCTCTTTGCAAGTCCCCCCCCCCTTTTCTGTTTCAGCAGAATAGATGGCACATCAAATTATAAGAAACAAGGCTTGCAGGTACATGGAATTAAGTGACACACAGTCTAGAGGGGGAGGCTGCCATTTGCCTGAGTGTTGTTTCCTAGTGTTATTGTCCTCACTTAGGCACCCCTGTGCTTATCTTCCAAGATGGCTTGTGAAACGTTTACTTCAGGGCCAGTGAGTTGGATCCATGGACAAAGGTGCTTGCCACTAAGCCTGACGAACTGAGTTTGATTCCTGAGCTCTACATGGTGGAAGAGGAGAAACAGCTTGAGCAGGATGTCCCTGACCTTCACATGTTTGCCCCCTTGGCTTGTGCACGTGTGGTGTGTGGGTGTGT